TCCTATGTCAGGTTTTGCTAAATCATTGGAGGTTATTACTTCCATAATATACCTGAGTATATTTAGATTGTATTTAGGAAATAAATTTTGTCTTTGAATGAGAATCCTACCACTGAAATTTCTTGATGGAACCAAATGTTCTTCAAATTTTTATCCAAAAATTTATAATAATAACTAATCTTTTGTGTTCTGGCTCTTAGACTTCGATCGTTATAATTTGTTTCATGTAAATAAAGCATCCAAAATAGAGGAACAAATGGGATCTCTTCGAAAGGTAAAGCCAAAGAATGGAACTTTCACGACAAATTTTGAGACCAACACTCTTGTAGATTATTTGAAATCAATACTCTTGTAATTGTCCCCATGTTTAGGACAACTTTAAGAAAGGCCATAAATTTATCCACAGTAACATCAACCGAGGAAAGCTTTTGGATAATCTTTTTTGGGCAATTCTATTTCGGGCATAACTATTAGACTGTGTCACTATTTTTACAATGAGTTCATCACAGAAAAAAGTTTTAAAAAATCAGTAGATTTAGTGAAATTATCAAGAATTTATGGTCCTTCAGTTTTGTCATTGGAAATAAAATCAAGCCTGTTTGCACATCATCCTAAGAGTGACATCTTCAATTGGCACATAATTGTCCCTCTATAGGTTATTTCTTCATATTCACTGCTACTTAAACTCATTGGTAAAACTACTTGTCTTTTGTTAATTATGGTGTAATTACTACTACCTGTACCATTTCCCTTTACTTTTTTTCATAATGTTTCTATCATTATTTTCACTGTACTCGATTCCTCAATGACGTATGCTTTTATTCAAAATTAATCAACATAACTTTCCAGTTCATTTATAATTTCACTAGAATGTCATTTAGGCATTTTCAAAGTAGTAAAAATTTGCAATTATAAATAAACACTCACACAGTATCTGGCAGCATTCGATAGAAAACTAAACGAAAAATTCAAATGTGTAACATAAAGAAGCAAATCTATAAATAATAAAGTGTATCTAATACAAACAAGTAAACTGCCTTGCAAATGAAAAACACCGTAAACACTTCATAATAGATTTCAAGAAAAGTGTCTGGAAAACTTTTTTCTTTTTATTACTATATAATGCTTAGATAGAATTTCAAAATACTGATAAAACAAAATTTATTTTCGAAATTTTTTTTGCAATAAGTAGTTCATTATACAAAAATGTTAAATATATAAAAATCTTAGTTTTTGAATTTTTTGTAGCTTACATTGATTTTTGTATGTGTTTATTATATGTGTTTATATTAGGCACATAAAATGAAGTTGTTTGTCGGCCCATGCTGAATGATTGGTCCAGGGTTCATGCTCTACTTTAGAAATAAAATTCAAGTACTTTTCAAGGACTTTTTAAGACTTATTATAAAATTCTCAAGGACTTAAATTTTAGTAAAAGATAGACTAAAATTTTACATTTTAAACTAAAATGTTTTGAACAATAATAGTTAGTTGACAGTCGATAATAGCAGTACTGAAAAATAAGACTTCCATTGCTCTCTTGATTTCGGAAAGTGATCTAAGTATAAAAACAGGGCATCAAGTCAAGAATAAAATTCATGATTCATAAAAACGTCAAATTTGAATTTTGCACAAGGCCTATTTTAAGCTAGGTATACAACCTCTGAATAAGCAAAAATTCAGACAGGACAGGGGTCTATATAATACTGTGATATCAATTAGATATTTAAAAACTCTGCCGGGAGATTTTTATTTAATATTTAAAGTGGCAGAAGCATTTAGACAGTTAAATTTAAATTGTTCTTAAATATAATTTTGAAATTTTGACCACTATTAAAGAAAATTAATCAATTATTGGATGTTGCGGCTTAATTATCATTTTAAATTTATTACGGGTCAACCATTTTAAATTGAATCAGTTGCCAACTTTCACCTCAATATCTTCTGATAGATTCTTACTAACAATTTTGGTCACTTTGACTGTTTTAATTAACCACTCATACTTGAATAAATTTTTTTTCAGTAGCATCGATCATACGCACTTGACATGGTCACATGAACATGAATAGTAACGAGTAGTTTTCAAATAGAGTATAAATACGAAAATCGATGTTTGATATTACAACATCGATGTTTGATATTGCAACATCGATCAAGGCCGCGGGAACCCTGTTGGTCAAATAGTTCCCTTTTTTACAAATTTTGTATTTCATTAAAATTACATAATTTAAAATGATGCAAAAATCTTTATACTATACAATTAAAAACTTTTTCGACTATTATGAAATAAAAAGAAATATTTACAAAAAGTTATATTTTTCATGGGATCATCTTTGAATAAATGAATTTTATGATAGTGAGCAAGTTTTTAATTCATTTAAAAAGTTCTCAAGATAGTCGAAATGTGCAAAAAATAAAATTAAGATTAAGGGGTCCAAACTTTGGGCAGCCCTCCTGGGACCACATTTTCCTGATTGCGACTACCCTCTATATTTTGGGGGTCAGAAATCTGAATCTACCGAAAAGGTATGTTTTTTCAGAGAAAGTACATTTTTTTGTCTGATCTCATAATTTAAAATGTCTACACTAATTAATTAGCATATTATAAGGTCTCCCCCTCAAACCATTAATATTGAGTCTTTGAACGTGAAAGATCTGATCATTAGATCAAAAGTTATTTAGGGCGATCCGTTTTTTTTTTTAGCACTGTACATATTAAGTTATTTCAATTTTTACTTAAAAAAAAAGTTAAATTGCCTGTGTTGGGAAAAGTTGTGTACTGATATCAAATGTTTGTAAAAGATTTTTTTTTAAAAATTGAAATCATAATTTTGAAATTTTAATTCCTTGAAGCAGAGTTTTTATCAAACATATTTTTTAACTTAAAGACATTTTTTGATTGTTTGTTTTCATAAGAACACTACAGAATTGCCTAGGATTTAAAAAACAAAACAAGAAAGCATCTGAGAACTATTGCACTATCAATGTGCATCAAAGAGTTAAAGCAGTTGAATACAGGATAGGTGCAGTGCACCTGCAGAGCAAAAAGTCTTAGCTTTAGTTACTAGCATTTTAGATTATTTGAAAATAAGTCCATTATTTAATAGAGATTTACTTGCAACTGGATTGAAGGGAACGCCAGTCAAAGCTTATGAAATTCTGTACAATACCACGCAAAAAGACCATTTAGTGGGTCTATGCCAGTTGCATACCAATGAGCTATTTTTACAACATTAGTTGCGGCATCTAGATGGATATACTATGTCCCTTTTACATATTTTATCTTTACTAAGAAAAATCTTGAAGCATGTGAGTAGAAGTTTAATATAGAAGTTTAATAATGCATCTATCAACCCACATGAGGTGTAGATGGACTTAGTACTACACAAAAATATTTCTTTTAAATATGCTAAGGAAATATTCTGGAAATAGCCTATAAGCATTCAAAATGCCTATACTAGGAAACTCTCCCATGCCAAGTGGCTTCTAAAAATAAAGAGCTTTGTCTATATATGTGTACAGAAGTAGAAGATCAACCACTTGATAAAAGTGTATAAAAAGATTGTTTTCTCATTAAAAATGAACTTTTACATACAGCGGTGCGCAGCATTTGGGAAGTTATACATTACTCAAGTTATTTCTGCCATGATCTGAATTTAGTAGTGGATCCTGTAATGCAAAGAAATTATTTTTATGATCATCCAGAAAACCTACTAATTGCCCTATTTAACGACAAACAATGCAGTGCAAGCATATTAAGCGTCAGAAAAAACTTTACATTTTATCTTTAATAATTCTGTAGTGCTATTATAGAAAACAAAAAAGATTAAAGAAAGTCTTAGTTTTAAAAAAAAAAGTTTAATAAATTCACTACTAGGCATACAAATTTCAAATTCCTGGCGGAGAAAGTAAATCTAATATATGATATTGTGGAAATACACATCTGCACACAACAGCAGCGCCACCAACTCTAACTGCAGAACTGTTTTAGCGCTCAAATAGAGCAGTCATTTTAAAACTCTTTTCATATTTCTTAATTTTTATTATTGAAGTTTATTGTTTTCGTCAAGATGTTATCTTAATTCTGGCTCAATGCACCAAAGGCCAACCATTAGAATATATTTGTTTACAAACAAAGAGGCTTACTATGTAACTTTACCCACTATAGACGCTCAAAAATTTTGATAAAGAAAATTATAAAACAAATAAAAATGTAGGTAATAAAATTAAGAGAAATTCGAAGGACCAAATGGTAGGTCAGAGTATATGATAATTTTTTTTTTACAAACATGTGATACTAATGCACAACTTTTCCCACCACAGACAATTACAATTAAAAAAAAATAAAATAAAAAATCCACCATAATACAATTCTACAGCCACTAAATTTTTTAAACATCTGACTTAACTTTTCAATTCACATTACTTTGAGAACAAACACCACACTCTACAATGAAATTCAAAATAAAACTTCTAAAAAAACATAAACCGCACATTTAAGTTAATTGCAATGCTGAATATGCGATACTTTAAAATTGATTAAAAAATTCTTGACCTATACGAATAAAGTAAATGGATTAAGAAAAAATTTAAAAAACTAGACAAAGGTCTTTAAAATTGAAAAAAAAAGAAAAATTAAATTACCCAACAACATCAAGACCTTTGCTCCTCAAAACTCATTCTCACATTGCACTTTTTGTCTTCCTGAACACCTCAAAAACAAATATTAATACGCAACTAGCATTGTTGACATATGTGGTAAAAAAAAATTCTAAAAGATTGTGGTTGGTTAATAACAAAGTAGTTTCTTGTAATTCTGTAGAATGCAGTCATATTTAAAAATTAAAAGAATACATAATTAAATAATACACTATTACATAATTATGAACTATAAATATTAAAAGCAGTAAAATAATTCTACTAGAGAGTAAACATTAAAGTTCAATTTTTAACATTAATTAAACATTAATTTTTAAAAATGTTCTGCGGTCAACACTTGCCTTTATGTCATCATTTTCTGTCGGTTCTTCAGATGATTCTGATCCAGTTTTACAGCTTTCCATGACTATTTTCACTAAAAATCAAAATAAAATTACCTGTTAAAAGCTAAATTATTATTAAAAATATAAGGAAAAAAATACATTATATTTACTTCATGAAATAATAATTTTATAATTTAGAAAAGCAGAAAATCAAAAAAAAAGTTTAGAGGACTTAAATAAATAAATTCTTTCAAAGCTAACCAGAACTACAAACCTACAATTCATTAAATCATCAATGTATTAATCAAATTCTTTGTTAAAATAACATTAATGGAAATATTTTTTAAAAAAACATCACCTTCAAAAAATATTTAAAATTTTTCAAAATATTTTTTTAAGTCTTGTTCAATAATACAAATTTGTCATCTTAATCATCTATGGAAATAGGAACTATTCATGTTGTTGTAATAGGTACTACGAACTTCCCTTCCCTGCAATTTCTTTACATCTATGAAAAATAATTTTCTCTCAAAAATTGAGGATGAGATTAGATGACAAACCCTACTTAAGACTGTTTATTTTTAGCCATGCTTCAAAGAAAAAAAAAGCTGTTAAAACCTAGATTTTATAAAGAAAATACCACAATTTTTTTTTCTTCTTACTATTACATTTAGTTTTGAAAGAACTATAACAATATACCTGCTTACATAAAAAAAATATAAGTTTAATAAATGATACATTCTAGGATACTTTAAAAAAAAAAAAACCTAAAATATTTTAGGATAATTCTGTAAACTTAAAACTAATGAACTTTTAAAAGCAAGTTTGTCGAGAATGATACAGGAATAAAGTACAAATGCTTTTAAGTTTGTCAAAAGTTTTTAGTTTAAAACCACATTGAATCTATTAAAATATAAAATATTGGTAGATTAGAATAAAATTTGTAGTTGTTACATATAGATATGCTTTAGCAACATCTAATAGTAAACGTAATGGTTTATTTTTAATCACCAAAAATTACTGCTGCAGGTTTTTTACTGAGTTTACGATAATGATATTAGCAATGCTGCTCGTCATGAACTCAGTAACAATCAGCCAATAATGATAAGCGTCATATTGTTTTGTTTACTTTCACTTTATCACTTCTAAACAGTTATTGATTTATCAACCAATAGTTACAATACACATAAAACAAACATATTTAAATATATAATCAATAGTTTTCTTAAAGATAAATAATTCAGATACACATAATGAAAGTTAACATTTACAGCTATTTAATTTGCTGCAAAATATAGAGTAACTCAGGGATGCATTACTGATCATATGACTACATATTAATTGTGTTTTGGGCTTAAAGCAGACCTCTGCCGACTTTTTCTTATATTTTTTCAAACACTGAACAACACAAAAGGTGTAAGAGTAATATGCATTTTAAAGATATACAAATATTTCGATGAAATACATCTGCTCTCATTGTTATATTACTGTTATATACTTATGTTACTTTATTAAGTTTTACAACAAGATAGAGAAAGTAAATTTCAATAATATATTTCTGATAAAAAAAAAAAAAGTAAACATAAATGCAAAAAATATATAAAGAAAACTGTTACAATAACATTAATAAATCATGAAAGAAACTGAATTTAACATAAAATAACAATTTTGAAAAAAGTTAATAATATAAAAGTAGTTTTAAGAAGTGCATATTTATAGCCTTATTTTAATTTTAAAAGCTAAGAAACACTTCTTAAAGGCAATACAAAATTTGTCATAAGAAAGTAAGATTAAGCATATGTTTTATATTTTATTAACCCATGCTTAAGTCAACTAACAAATTGCTGAGCTTTTAGCAAATTAGTAGAACTATTCCAGAGAAACAAAGTTTTACGAACTTTATTAAGGACAAAGCTTCATTAGGAACCAAGAAGAAAATCATTATAAGAAAGAAAGATTAAATTAATGTTCTATATTTTATTTACCCATGTAAAACTCAACAAACACATTTTAGTACTTTTAACAAATTGGCAGTGTAACAAAGCTTTACGAATTAGTCAAATATTAGGAACCAAGTAGGATTAACATTTAGATTTCATTTTCTTAACGCTTCAACAAACTATTGTTCTTTGACGAGGAGCAAAATCAACGAACCATAGCAAAAGCTTATTAAGGATAACCAAATTTGGTTAACTCATTATAATAATTCGTATTAAGATATTTACCTGACAGAAATTTTATAAGAACTCGACATTTCTTTTTAATACTTAATCGAAAAACTATTAGTATGATGTTAATTTTAAAAAATAAGAAAAAATTATTCTCCAAGGAATAGAAAATAATAAACAAATTAGAAAGTTCGTTCGGCTGCACTTCCGCAAAAACAATGCTAGAGCATTGCCAACTAAAATCGCTAAATACAAAGTTTTTAGCAAAAAATGAGTTAAATGAAAAAATCTGCAGTAGATGGCGCTAAAAAAGTGTATTTTCAGATGCTGAAGAGCCGTTCACGCTGGATTTAAAATTACACATGAAAGAGAACTTGATTAGCGAGTTTTTTTCGCCGGCAAATCTTTTCGGTCTCATTCATATTCGAAAATCACATTCAGTGAGATTAGTCCTTGAGGAACAAGATTTTCTCATAGAACAGTTTATAACTCAACACAAGATGCATAATAAATAACTGCTTACAAAGGATTTGGGCATTGACATTTAATAACACTATCGAAGCAAATAATTTTAAAAGCGAAAAACTGAAATAGATATGCATAAAATATGTAGAAAGCGTTTAGTTCCTGAGAAATCAAATTTTAAGGAAATTACAGTATCAAAATTCGATTTCTTAGAAACTAGAATATTTTGCTAGATTTGAAAAAAAATTTTTACTTTTTAAATTTACATCACGTAAAAATTTTTATGTCTTACAATTCAAATTTTTTCGTATATTTTTAAATAAAATGAAAATAAATAATTATTAAAATTACTTTTTGCATGAAATTATCTTGGGGGAAACTAATTTTATAATTGTGTACAAGCATTTTTCAATTCGCTTAAAAAATTCCCAATATATAGCGAAATAGGCAAAAAATAAAACTATTATTAAAGGGGCAAAAACTTTGGATTGTTCTCCTGACTAAATAATTAGGACCATATTTCTCAGATTGCAGCTACCCTCCATATTTTGTTAATGGTCAGGTTAACGATTATGCGTCGGAAAAAAGGTATCTTTTCTAGAGACTTACTTACTAGAGACGTAACTTAAAATATTGTCTTCACAAATTAAATAGCATATTTGAGGTCACCCTCCTGAACCATTAAGATAGAGTTTTAGTACGTGAAAATATGTTTATAAATTTAAAGTTTATTGAGTGTGGTTCAACAAAGAGCCCTTTAAAGAGAGTTATAAAATTTTTTAGAAAGAGTTATTAAGTTGAAGACTTAAATAATTAAATGCTAAAAATATGAATAAATAAATAATTAAATAAAACTAAAAACAGAAAGAAAAGAAATAAAAAAGTAGAAAAGTAAAGCGCTTTTGTGTAAACTATGATATTTTATACTGTATACATATACCACAATTTTAATAAAATCTACCTTTTGAAAAACACATTTTTAATTTTGAATTACAAATAATTGTTTAAAAAATAATTTTGAAAGAAGTTTAATTTAAATGTAACAAGACAGTCTCAGTTTTAACCAACATCAAGTACCTCTTTAAAAGATTTTGAGAGTGGATAAAAAAAAAATCTAAAATAGGACATCTCTTTAAAAAAAAAAGGGAAAAAAAAATATTGCTTTTAGAAGGGGTGCGCATCTCTTCAAGTTAAAAAAAAAGTCCCTATTTCATCAAAGACAAAAATACATAAAATTTTGTTTATTTAAAACACAGCTTATATTTTAGCTGTATCTAAATACAATGCATATCACTCGATTGTTAACTGTTAGCAACATTTTGGAAGGGGTAATTTTCAGTAGACAGAATTAACATAGACAGAATTGCGTAAGAAATTGCCAAGAAAAGCACCGGTGGAAAAGCCCGTGGAGAGAGAAAAAGTTCCTTTTGGATATCAGAGAACTGGTTCGTAAAATAATAGCTGATACTTTAAAACTAACATGAATTTAAGAGCGAGGACTGGTCCATGGTGCTTTTCAAGTGCATGCAAAAATATTTTAGGCTCCCCCCTCAGTAAGGAATAATAGTAATAAATATGTACAGATTAAAATAAATTTCATTAATAATTTTAAAAATAAGTCAAAATCTACAAATTTTATTTGTTTATTTCATTTTTTTAAAAAATACTTCGCAAACTATTTATATAATGCATTTTTATTAAAATTCTACTCAGCGAAAAAAAATGTCCACTCTAAGCAATTATCTCATATATATTATCATAACAGATTTATCACTAAAACTTAAAAAAGCACTTAAACCTAATGACTCATTTAAAGTAAAAAATGAAAATAATGCGATAAATGTCTTAAAAATATATTTCTTAATATCTCAAAAACTCGACGCTTTTCAGTGATATAATTTTTAATTTGTTAATATTCAAGAAGTTTTAAAAATATTACTATTTAAAGAAAAAACGGTAAGAAAGCGAAAATGAACTAACTATAAATGTAATCACTAAATTTCATAACTGAAAAATTAAAAAGAATATTTAAAAAAATATTTCTTTTTTTAAATTATCATAAACTAAAGATTATAATCTATCGATAGGGGAGGTAAAAACAATATTATACCTTTTAATTTTATTGAAATTTGGCATAATTTTAAATTTAATATTGAGAAAATTACAAACAAGAAAATTATGTCACAAAAATATAGAAAAACATCAAATTTTGAAATCTGAAAAATCAACATTAAATCAATGAAATTGCATATCATATTTGAAAGTCTGCTTCAACAAGTCTCGCGGATACAATTTTGAAATTAAAAAATAATTAACTAATTATTTTAATTTAAATTGGTTAATACACCGGACATCTATTTTCTTTTCAATATAATTTTTAAATATAGGATAGATACATTAAACTGATTGATAACATATCACACCAAAAAAGATTATACGAAATATCCCTCTCCCTTCCT